TTTTCGCAGACAGTGATGGAAAAAATAAATGAAAATTGAGTATACTCTTTCGATGGATGGTCCACGTTAAAAACTTGATACGCGACAACTATACTGCGATCTTTATATATTTGCGACATGTGCAGAATTATAAAATGGAAGAAAACGTATAAATTAGGAAGTTCTAGTAACATTTTTATTTTCTGTTCGTAATCTTTTCTAGTGATAACAGTAGCACAATGTGACGAATTATTATTATTATCATGCTGTGTTATTTTTATTATTATTATTATTATTATGCATTATTATTATCATATAGTGACGATTACGTGCTAAAAAGTACGTACGATGTGCGAGTAAATCCAACCTCGTCAATGTAAAACAATATATTTTAATCGCGTTTAGTGATAGATATAGTGAGGACCAAAATTGTACCGATAGAAGTGCTTATTGTGAAACATGAAAATTTATCTATATATTGCCTTATGAAATGGAAGAAACTGGTGGTATATGTTATTCACACTTATTTTTGTATAATAAACATATAATTGTTTCATCGTACTTTGTGCAGTTTTCCAATTCTACAATTATTCTTCTGACTCAATTTTGCACTAATACAAAGTAAGGTAGAAAATATATACATATTTCACAAAAAGCACTTGTGTTAGTTGAATTTTGCTGATCACTGTAGTCCTAATGTTTAATAAAGAAGTTATGATACAAAAAATCTTGCACGTTAGTACATATATTGATGCAATTGTGTATCGGTCAATAAATGTGGTAAAATCACTCGTTTTGAATTTTGTCCAGCAGTATCGGCAATTCGTCACACAGCGCCTCGTTTCCGCATCCCTACCAGCTTTGTCTGAAACGGAAAATTAAATTCAAAGTTTCCGCGTGGCAAGCCGCCCCATCCTTCTCCGCTCGGAAGCCGCGAAAATTTCGCGAAACACGATAGCGTGGAAACAAACGCGTTCTCGCACGCGCACCCGGGTCCGGGAACTCGATATAATCTCTTTCTTCTTCCCTCACACCTGCCTCGAGGTAAGTTTACTGCCGCGAAGTTCCTTCATTTGTAGTAAGGTCTCGACGACGTTCGTGTGCCGGGCATGAAGAATGAAGCCACTCGAGAGTCTCGCTAACCGTGAATTCTTCCCGCTGCGCTGTTTCAATCGCTCGAACGAACTATTTATTTCCCATCATCCATCGTGCGTTCGTCAAAAATGGTTGCACGAAAGGTAACTGTGTAACGCTTCAGCCATTATTGCTTCACAATTTTGTACGGCGGCTTGACTAAATTCACACAGATCTTTATACAGGGTACAGTAAATTCTCCCCAATTGACGCTCAGATTGTACACGAAAATGGACAATTTTGGAAGAGGAGATACAATTATTCGAGCTTTACGGCTCATTTTTACAGTTACCGATTGTCAGCTATTATAAAAACGAGCCGCGTGGTTTGCCTAATCGTATCTCCTCTTCCCAAATTGTCCATTTTTGTGCTGAATCATAAAACTGAGCCGAAAATATAGAATAACATTTTTTCATACAGGGCATCGTTTCCGAGAAAATCGAGTTCGAAAATTCGTTACGAAACTACACGTGCACTTAGACACTTTAGACACAATGGAATTTTGCAAGCCAGGCAAACGAATTAAATTATGTCTAAGTGCACGCGTATGTAATGAATTTTCGAAAACTCGATTTTCTCGACAATGCCCTGTATGAAACAAATTTTACTGTATATTTTTAACTCAATTATATGTGTGGAATCACTCCCTTGTTGGTTCTACCACGATTTCCCGAACACCATGTATATCAATTTTAGTTTATGTATTTTTCAAAGGACTTCTTTGAGATCAATGTTAATCTTGTTATTTAATTTAATATTGATAATTTCTATGTAATCTAATTAATAAATATATCAGCCCATCAATATTTCAATATTTTACTATTTTAAGAAAGCATTATGATGACGAGTTGCAGTAGGTAAAGTTACAGTAGTTTCAACAAGTATTTCAACGTTTCCGAAAAATTGTCGATATTTAAATTCTTATTATTTTGGAAACAGAATCAACCTGTTATATAGCAATAAACCTGGGATTACTTTTAATAGAATATCATTTTTTGTATAATGATAAAAATAAACGTTCAAATAATTTTATTAAAAGTTATTTTCTTTCAGAAATATGAAGTTACCTATATTAAATTGTATTATATAAAACATTTATATTATATTTTTATACATTATGATTTATATAATGCAATTATGTTAATTGTATCACTTTTATTAGCTTGATCCAGGAACGCAAATAATTCTTATAGTGCTCAGCTTTTATTTTTGTATCAAAAAGAATGCAAATTCATATTTAAACTACTATGCAATTAATATGGACATCTATGAACAAAATTTATCTAAAATAATGATCATAAGAATATGCTTGAAGATTGTAATATCTCTCTTTTATATTTTATATGTTTTTCGATCAGCCGCTAATTCTTTCCTGTAAAAGTCTTGTCTTGTGTTCATCAAATAATGTTAACTAATAATATACTACGAAATAAGTATTTTTCGATACCATTGAAAATAAAATGCACTTTATTTCCTTGAGAAAGTCTGCCCCAAATTAGAATTCAACATGTTTACCGTCTTACATTAACTGGAGAAATCGTATATTTTTGAGGATGGCCAGGTCTCCAGTGACTTATGGTCGCGAGCATCTGTCTACGGTACCACGTGAATTTGCGAATAAGATAAAAAAATAACAATTCGCGAGAAAATACGAGATACGCAGTATCTTCTGTACGAAGAAACAGTGTATCAGATACCGCAGGTGTCGGTCTTGCAATAATTTAAAAAGTAAGTTTTCAACTTTGTCGTACGATACAATGACCAACGCTTCCAGAAGATAGAGCACGCCGGGCTTTTACATTATCATCGTCCCTCGCGAGCGCTCGCGGGCAATTTATTGCGTGTAGATAGCAATTAATTGTAACTCTTGTTGGAGATGGGAATTCGCTCGAGGACAATTCTTCTCCTCCTTTTTCAGAATTCCTCGCGACGAAAGCCGTATAAAGGGCATCCATTATAATACGCGTAACGGCTCTTAAAATAATTTATTGCTTTCGACCAGCTGCCCTATGTTTGCCCGATATATATACGTGTATCGTTATTCTTCGGCATTGTCGCGTAAAAGAAAGAGTCGATCACCGGCAATTGCTTTTATCTGGCTTTAAATCGCGCAACACAAATCATTCTTCTTCAGTTTTTAATCGGTTACATCTTTCGTGGAACATTACCAATCTCATTGTTAACAAAACGTGAAATTAGCATGCGCGAAACAGAAGTACACGTGTGATGCAATCAAATATCATGGAATATTATAAATGTACATTCCGTTTTGGTATACGCGGAAAACGTTCTACGTTTACATTTCGGCCAATTTGAATGATATATATATATATGTCAGATGCGTATCGAGTTTATTGAAATATAAATTACGATCTTCATAATACACATTGGCTTTTCCACTTGTTAAAATGTGTCTGTTAATTGCAATTAATAACTGTTGAAATCGATTATTAATAATTTCCGGGCCACTTGGCAACGTCTATAGTACTGGGAGATCATTAATTCGAACGGTTACAAACGAACGATTTAAATTACTTGCAGCAATTCAAAAAAATGACTGTCGCTATTGTTTACCTTTCAAGGCTATATGAAACCATATTAATTATATTTTAGATTGGCTCTTCACGATTTCAACGAATACCGCGGAGGTGATCTGTTAAAGCAGTTTCCACAATTCGTTCTTTACATTCAAAGTTGATCTTTTGATTTGATAGTATTTATTACAACTAGAACTCTGTTTTAATTGTTTTGCTGTATTGAGTCATGAATATTGACTGCAAATAGAATTTAATGAAGGTGAGTAAATCTCGCAAACAGTTCATGTTGACGGAACAGAAGTGTCATTCGATCATAAATTTTTCGTGTGAGCTTATATTTCCGCTAAATATGCAAATCCTCTGCCTGATAATAAATCATTGGCAGTGAAGCAACACTTGCCAATCCGGTCACTAAGAGCACCGTAAAGCAACAGGTTAATGTATAAGCTAAATAATTGGCTTCGTTCTCAAGAAAATATAAAAACGCCACTGTGTGAAGAAAAATGATTAGTGTACGTCAAAATTTACCTCAGCAAATAAGAATTCGACGTCGATGTCATTTGCACATAAGTGTATATCTTTTTACTGTACTGTTTAGCCGACGATTACCTTGAAAATTACGGGCGGGGGATGACCTTGAACTACTTTTTGCATCGTATTCGTCTCTTAATACCAACAAAATACCATATAAATAATAAATATTTTGTAACATCACTATTGTAGAAGATATTTAGCTGGATCAATCTCCTTCAATGTTTAACACTAGATTTACAGAGCACCAAAAACAACTGCTTTATATTAGTTTATAAAAGTAACAAGACATTTATTTTGATTTTTAACAAGTGTTATTGTAACATTTGCCGTGAGTAACATATAAGTTGAATAAATAACTCATAAATGTATGTTTACGATACGAATAATCGTAAATTAAGAAATTAGTGACCCGTCATTTTGATGCGTTCCGTAAAAATCTAACGTTAAAGAAATAACATCTTCCGAAATTTACGCGCCTGAATTACCCATTTCATACACCCCAAACTAACAATTGAACAAAAAATTGTCGTTGACCTCGATGCATCGAGAGTTGTTTCTAAATGAACGAAAAGTGAACACGAGCAAAGGTCGAGGGAAGGTCGCGCGAGCAAACACGCGAATCTCTCAAGTGGCCAACTGATTCTAATCACGCCGTAATCACGACCACCTCAAAATCGGCGATAAAGCGGCGGGTTTCACGAGACGTGGTCCGAAGTGCTGCGATGCTGGATGCAGAAGCGTATTACATAATTCAGATTCAACTTACACCTCGGACGGTTTCGCGAGAAACAAGATTAACGATTACTTTGCACTCACGTTCTCTCATTTATTCCACAGCCGGTTTCTTGCGTGCTTTGGTGCTCGCCTTGTCTCTCTCTCTCTCTCTCTCTCTGCTGGCACCTTTGCCCTCGGCACGATACACCCGGCGAACGTGTTTGGCAAAGCTCCGTTCTACGGGTAACTCGCTGTCACTAATAGAAATTTGATAATCGGACACGTGGCAAGCCTGTCTCGGGTCGCGCGTATACCAGTCGAAGCTTCCTTGAAGACTGCCAGCCGACGACGTATCATGGTTAATCTGCGGCAGGCTCTGCAAAGATTCTCATCTGACCGAGGTGGTGGAAAGTGTGAGAAAGGAGGAGAGACGTGTCATCAGCTTCGCGGGTAACGCGTGATGGGCCAATGGGATGGGGAGGGGAGGGGGGCAGAATACAACGACGAGGGAAGGGATTAATCCGAGCCAGCCGGTGATCACCTGTTAGAGAACTAGTCTGATCGTGAGAGGATTACATTTTCGAAATGCGCTGCGTTTCAGCGTCCGCTCGGACACCTCTCCAGGGAAATAAAAGTAGATATTTATATCTCCGGCAGGATAACGCTGTGAACCGCTCGATAAATAGGATTCCTGACGGGGCGGACCCGGCAAGTTTATGCAATTAATCCGTGTTTAGGTTCGCCCCGCGACATTAGCTATCTGGTTATGGAGCGGCTGGTTCTTGCTGCGCTTTCGAGTTCCTAGCGATAACGCAATCGATATTTATCTGCGAGCCCTAATTAGCTGCGACCGTTAATATAAATTGCGCTGAACGGGTTTCGAGAGCAAGATCACGTTAATTATACGTCTTCGCCGATTGCACTGCGGTTTCTTTCGCAGCTACAATGTTTAGCACTTCCTTGTCTTTAACACCTTAATGGCCGCTGACACAACATGTGCGTGATGCTTTCATAATTATGTAGATGATTGTTTCAATAATTATATCACACAAAGGAAAAATATTAAATTTGTTGTATTAAATGTTCTGTTCTTTTTTTGTTTTATGTGTATGTTCGCACATATTGAATTATTTCATTAATTTACATAAATATTGTCGGCCCCTGTGTTTGACTGCGTAGACGTGCGGCCATTAATGCAGAAGGGAGGATAAAAAGTGACCATCGAATGTTAATCATGTATGTTTGTTCCAACAATTTTATTTCTGCGTTATAGGTATCTAAATGTATCATTTAACAGTATTCTATAAATATACCTTGAACAGAAAAAGCAATGTTTATAGCACTTTTTCTCACATGGATACAAAATGACGCTCCCTTAAGCAGATCTCAAAATCTTCTAATACCTTAAATGTCCTAGGGTTAATAGAACGAGAGAATTTTTGCTGATGTTATATGTCCTCGTTTACTTCGATTCCTAGATTTTGGTTTCAGAAGAATCAAATTTTGATTTTCGATTTAGAAGAAACGTATAATAGTCATATTTAGTAAATCTTTATCAGGAGTCTTACTCTTTGCTACATAGTGCAAAGAGAACTATTCTTTATAGTTCTACTTCTGCAGAAGAAAACGGACGATTTCAGGAATTTATAAGAGAATAACGATAAGATAATATTTTTCAGCTTTATGCATTCGTAAGAGAACATTTAAAGGAGAATGCGATACTCGTTTCGTCTAGAAATATCTATCCGTTTAAAAGATGCATTTGTGTAACTACTGCTTGTAATACAAGTTAAATAATAATAATTTAATAAAGCTTGTATAATATGTCTAAACGAAACATATATATTTCTCAGTTGTTTAAGAAAATGCGAAGAAGAATAAATGCTGCATTCTTGCTCCAAAATGAGCAAGAATGTTTCATTAAATGTAATATGAAAGAACATGTGTAGTTCAATAGCATCATGTGACCTATATTTGTAAAAAATTTTTAATTGTTGTCACTATCTCAGTTACCAAATTTTCTCGGCTAGTCATCTGCACGTCATCAACATGTTTAAAAAGTTTAAAAATCATTCATACAATGTGGCGATTTTTATACTCTCAAATTCCACTAATGCAATATATTTCAAACTTTTCCTAATCTGATTTCATAATTTGTCTAGACAATAGCCTCAAAATGAGTTTGAGGTAAAGGATGTTATACGTACTAAACTTTGCTCGCTTAACCTGAACTACGCTTTTTGTCGAACGCTTTAATTCGCAGCGACTCATTATTATATAAAACCTGTTAGGTCGACGTACGAATGTCGTTTTCTTGGGTTTATAATATTCCAGACAAATGTCAGTTCTGCATGTCGTAATCCTTATTCTTAACCTTGACATAACCTTGACATAACTTCTACAAAAACAATTACCTTCTGATTCCCCAAAAGTTTCCGCATGTATGTGTTAAAAAGAATTCCACTTGAATGATTGACTAATTGCAATAATATTTTTTTCTGACGATTTTCCTCGTTCCGCATAGTTTTCAATTTTGTGTTTCTGTGATTACAATTCCACACTCCAATTATTAAAGAATTTGATGAGACATCGTTTACCAAACATAATATTTAATATTTTTAATATTTGATTTAAATATAAAAAGTTATATTATCTATTTAAGGGATATATATCCTATAAAGTTATGTTATATTATCTATTAAAGAATAGTTCAACAAAATTTAAGTCATTTGGTTCAATTTGAAAAAGTTGTTCGATCACTTTCGTGATATATATGCACATGTATGTATATTCTATATATAGTATCTTGAAAGTTTGATAATATCTTGGGTTTGCTATGGATATGCTATTGTGAATATTACTCGTCCTATTTAATTTTTTAAGCCAACCATGTGCAACATCGTGCTGTATTTTCGTCGCTCGGGTTGTCTTCGTAATAATGACTTGCCTGTACACTTGGCAATTTCGCCTTCGTCCACTTATGGCGAAACGTGTCGGTGTCCTCGGCTGACTTCGCCCGATTGCAGTCTCCTCGTTCAATGACCATGACCTTGAGCCACGCCATGACGTATTAAGTAGTAGGCTCGGACACAGACGTCATGAAGGAATGAGCGGCGCTGCATCGCGGTGATTTCCAGGAAAACGTGAATCGTTCTATCGCGGCGAGAACAATATATTGCTGGCACTGCTCGTTAATTGCAACCGGTATTGCGATCGAGACGATGACAAGAAATACTTCCAAGTATCCAACCAAAATATCGGACGTGACGTGTTCCCGGGGAACTACGATAGTGATCCACTTCATGCTATTATAAGGAAAATAAATGTAGCGTCGTTGATTCATTGCGGTAATTTATTATTAGCATTCGCAAACGACGGATTTCTGATGTGAGATAAGACTTTGTCTGGCATGAACCGGATTGGAGGAGGTCAAGTGCCTCGCAAAAAATTATCGTGGCCAGAACTGGTTTTGGTGGTTCGTGGCAATGCACAACCATTGACATCGTAACGCCATGAGAGAGCCATTGCCAAGTCTTGAATACCAAATACTAAATTAAATAATGCGTATGACGCATACGTTTAGCAACGTTAATTTGTGCATTAATCTCAAACAAGTCTCACGTGTTTTCGTCACTGATTACGGAACCAAGGCGTTTCTGCAGGATTCGAATAAATTGCACGATAAACACTAAAATCGATAGCAAAAGATACGAACTTTCATTCCTAAAGTTACAGTGATTTCTTGTGCAATCTTTCTATTTGACATTGCATATACAGTAAATTCTCCCTAATCGACGCTCAGATTATACACAAAAATGGACAATTTGAGAAGGGGAGACACGATTATTCGAACCTCGCGGCTCGTTTTTATAGTTGTTGACAATCGGTTTACGTCGACTATCGTTTCACCGACAAAAGTTATTGATGTTATTAAACGTCGATTCTAAGGTAAAGCAATCTAAGCTGACGCTGTACATAGAAACGACAAGGTTATTAACGTTAATTAGTTAATTATTACAAATTACAGTAATTTCTCCCTAATTCGCGCTCAGATTGCGCACAAAAATCGACAATGTGGGAAGAGGAGTTACGATTATTCAAGCCTTGCGGCTCGTTTTTATAGTTACCGATTGTTAACAACAATAAAAACGAGCCGCAAGACTGGAATAATCGTACCTCCTCTTCCCAAATTGTCCATTTTTGTTTTCAAACTAAGCGGCAATTAGGGAGAATTTACTGTAGTAGGATACAAGTCGTAACAAAAGATAGGAGTAAGATGTAGAATTTAAGATTGCATTAGAGAGCAGATGATGGTATTAGTGGAATGTTTGAGTGAGATGAATGAACGGATTAAGGTGTCCTTTGTAAAAGTTTGTTTTAACAATTATTCGTTGCTCACTACCGCAACTTTCATTTTACACTGTAGCCTATTTAATAACGACGTCAACAAAACTTATTTTCAGCGGCATTAATCTTGATGATACACGGTTGACTGTTGGTACATTCAATATGTTGACTATTTCATATTTATGAACTAGGAAGTTAATTTATAGACACTTGAAATAATCAGAAGTGCAGTTATTGACTTTTGTACAGTGATATGAAGTGTGCATGTTATATTCCTTACGACTGGGCTTCCAATCTTTTATTCAGTAATTATTGCATCAGATGGTCTAATAAGAAGAAGGAATTGATTAAACGATTACCTTTTTATAAAGTCATCGACGTGGGAAAGTAAATTTGCACATTCATCGAACTTTACTATCAGGCGTGATTCGGGTTTTTAACGTGTCGAAAAAAATTTGGCCAGTCACAGCATTAATGGGCTGCCGGAACTGCATCCGCAGAGTGTGAAAGGCATAACGTCTATTTAAAGTAATATTTTTGATTGTTCTAGATACATGATTCCATATTGTCATCGGTTACTAAAAAATTCGGTTACCAAAGAAAGTAATTCAATTATTTCTTAATAGAAATAATATAATTTAATAATTATAATTTAAATGTAATTTCATAATTATACCAAAGACTACCGCATTATGAGTCTCATATACAAATGACTTAAAATTGAAAAATTGTTTAATGATAACTTTATTCTACTTAGATTCATAAATATTTTTTATAAATACAATGGATAGCGTGCATCTAACAAGTACAATACTTTCTTAATTGTGAACTTATATTTCTGGCATAGATCATCATAGAACATCGCCGGAAATTATATCTCCATCACAGTTTTAATTTCCCTCGAACTGTCTACTGACTTGTGCTTGCTGGTGTACATGTGTACAAGGTGTTCGTGTTGCAAGTACTGCGATAAAATAAAAAAAGAGAAATGTTCTATTGATTTTTATAAAGACTATGGAAGTGTTTATTAACTCTCTATA